ATTGCATTAGGCAAATCTGCTGCACAAGACCTTTTTAAAGTGTTGAAGAGCAAAGATGTCAGCTTGAGGACTAAGGTGTGCCTGATCCAAGCCATGGTATTTTCACTGGATAGTGAATAAGGAAGAGTATAGAAGAATTGATGAATTTGAGTTATGGTGTTGGAGGAGAATATTGAAAGTGCCATGGGCTGTCAAAAGAACCAACAGATCTGTACTGGAAGAAGTGCAGCCAGAGTGTTCCTTGGAGGCCAAGATGGCTAAACTTTGCCTCTCATACTTCGGACATATTGTCAGGAGGGACCATATGCTGGAGAAGGATATATGATGTTTGGTAACGTGGAGGGTCAGAGAAAAAGAGGAAGACCCCAAGTGAGAGGGATTGGCAAAGTGGCAATGGGCTCAAGCGTGGCAACAATTGTGAGGTTGGTCCATGACCAGGCAGTGTTTTGTTCTGTTGTGCATATGGGTCACTATGAGTCGGTACTGACTCGATGGCATGTAACAACAACAACAATGGGTACTATCACAAGAGAACCAACAGAAGTAAAAAGAATCGTGGCATAAGACTATGAAGACTTGTACTCCAATAGATTTGAAAATCTAGAATATTCTGACAATTTTCTAGTAACACAGGACTAATCTAAACTAAAAGACTAAAGTAGAAAACTTGAACAGACCTATAGTAAAAAAAAAATAAATGGATCATTAATAGACTTCAGACTAAAAAAAGTCTGGGTCCAGATGGCTTTACTGGTGAATTCTAGCAAACGTTCAGAAAGATGCTCACACCGATCCTATTCAAACTATTCCAGAATACAGAAAAGTAGCAAAATTTCTGAATTCCTTCTATGAAGCATGCATAACCCTGATACCAAAACCAGGCAATGACATCACTAAAAGAGAAAATGATATAGACCAATATCCCTCATGAACATAGACAAAACTCTCAACAAACTCCTAGCCAATTAACATAAAAAAAGCAATACATTGATATGAAGTGGGATTCATACCAGGTATACAAGGATGGTTCAATATTAGAAAAACAATCAATGTAATCCATCACATAAGTAAAACGAAGAAAAAAAAATTCCACATGATCCTATCAATTGATGCAGAAAAAACAATCGACAAACTCCAACATCCATTCCTGATAAAAATGCTCAATAAAATAGAAAGGATATTTTTCAACATAATTAAGGGTGGAGTCCCAGTGTGACGCTGTGGGTTAATGTGCCAGACTGTAAAGCCATTTGAACTGCAAGGTTGGCGGGTCAAGCTCACCAACTGCTCTTCGGAAACCCTATACAGGATTGCTATGGGTCAGAACCGACTCAACGGCCCTTAACAACAACATACATGCATGGAGGGGATTGTAACCATGGCAATGAAATGATATATGATAGGATGAATGTAAAGCTAATGTTCTCCCATATAAACTATCACATAATTCACAATAAAACATTTTTTTTTAATAGAGAAAAAAAAAAAACAACAACAACATACAAAACCAACAACTAACATCACTCTGACTGGAGAGAAACTGCAAGCATTCCACTTGCAAACAGGAACCAGACAACGATACAATCTGGTAACAATCCTATTGTCACATGAGACTGATGTAGCTGGGCTAGTGTTAATATTCACACCCTGTGCAGAAGGGTTACAACACATGATTTCACTGATGATTAGATAATATTCACACATTGACCTGGTTGTGTTCATTAGGCATTTATTCACTCCTGGGTTGAAAAGTAACACTCCAAAGTTTAAAAAGACAGACGAGGGGGACCAAAAACAATAAAAAGGTGTGGGTTTGATTTATTTATTGTTTTATTGCTTTCTTGCTTTTACTTAATGCAAAGTCAGTATCTCATATCATATGCTAAGATGTCTGAAATTCATCCCTATTAAGCATGCAAATAGTAAATTAGACTGTGCAGATACCTCAATGCCACCTCTTCTCAGTTGTAGCTGTTGGCATTACTTGGTGTTACAGATTGAACTGTGTACCCTCAAAATGTGTGTTGCAAATCCTAACTTCCATGCCCGGTGGTTATAATCCCATCTGGGAATGGGATGCATTTGTTATGTTAATGTGGCAGGGTACATTTTGGATGTGTCTTGAGCTATTGTTGTTGTTAAGTGCCTTTGAGGTGGTTCTGACTCATAGTGACCTTGTATAGGGTTTCTGAGGCGCGGCTGGTGAACTCGAACCACTGACCTTGTAGTCCAGAGCACTGACTTGCAGCACCACAAAAGGAGATTAAAAAGGTAGGGAAAGAAGCAGAGATGGAGTAAGAAATGATAAGCAACTTGGAGAACAACCACGAGCTTCTGCTCAAAGAGACAAGGACCTTTCTCCAGAGACAGCAGAGAGAAGCCATCCGCTGAAGCCATCAGACTTGCAGCTTCCTGAGCCCAGAGAAAATACATTTGTCAGTTTCTCACTTGTGCAACTTTTATAGCTGCCCTGGAGAATGAAGACATTCAGAAGACAGGGCACTGCTCTTGTCATTTTGCTTTTCCTAGCACTGCTATATTCAGACATGAAACCGAAGAGTATCAAGCACCAACTAACTTGGGGAGCACTTTTGTCTTCCTTTGAAATGGCTGGGGAGATTGAAAAAAAGTCCAAATACAGCAATTCTTCTTTTCACCTCATGCTCGCTAAAAGAAACTCCTGGGAGAGACTCAGGGTCACGATCCTAAAGGAAAGACCAGGGTGATTCCATTGTCAAGCAAGCAACAGCTGCCTACAACCTTCTTCGCCTCAGTAACCCCGTTCTCTGTAAAGATGGACAGCCTCCTGCAGTAACCACCGGGACTCCGGTGGCTGTAAACAGCAGCTTTCTGCTTGCTGAAGGCAGAGTTCTCGTCCTCAGGGTGGGGATCACTGTGGTGTGTTATGTTCAAAGCAGGAACCCTACCTTTGAAAAGGATGGTTTAGAGGTAGAATTCTCTTCCTCCCTGTAGGAGCCCCTGGTTCAATTCCTGACCCTCAAAGTTATCACACACCTGCCAGTGGAGGCTTGTAGGTTGCTGTGATGCTGAACAAGGTTTAGGGGAGCTTACAGACTCAGACAAACGAGAAAGAAAGGGCTGGTGATCTACTTTAAAAATCAGCCTGTGAAAACCCTTCTGGATCATAACAGTCCAATCTGATCCTGAGGCTGGCCCAGGACCGGGCAGTGTTTCATTCCACTGAATGTGGGGTTGTTGGGAGTTTGGGGCTAATTTGACAGCAACCAACAACCAACCTTGGGAAAACTGCAGTCAGCTTCCATACATCTGATTGCAATTTGTCTCCCTCTTTTTTTTTTTTTTAAAGACCCAGCATGTCTGGCACCAATGAAAATCTGGATGTCTCCTGTTCCTTCCACAAGGAATCAGATTTCCAAGGGGCACTAGGCTGTATTACATCCACAAGCAAAGATAGACACCTGGCTGTGTGTATGACTATGAACTACAGAACACACCTACAGACCACAGCTAGGAATAGCTCATAGTCACAGTGGTGATTTCCCACGAAACAGTTATCTACCGTGATTTTGACAAACATTCCACTAAAAGGATAAGCGAAAAGTATGAAAACACTACTTTATTTTTTAAAAACACATTTTAAATACCAAGGCTAGTGATCAAATTGAAGTTATCCAATTGAAATAACTCACTTCAGTCCTTCCCAATGGCAACTCCAGTCTCTATAACAAGAGACAAAAGCTAACTGCACTCTGCCAGGGATGCTGAGTCTTGTCCTCGAAACTCTCTGGGAGAATGAGGGGCAAGAAGATTCATCATTGTCCCTCCTGGCTTTTGATATGTATACATGTTCTTTAGGGTCCCTGGGTGGTGAAAAACATTAAACGCTCAACTAACTAAAGACCGGTGGTTCAAGCCTACCCAGAGGCTCCTCTGACGACCTGCTTCTGAAAGGTCACAGCCAAGAAAACCCTATGAGCGCAGTTCCACTATGCACACCTGGGGTCACCAGGAGTTGGAATCAACTTGACAGCAAGCAGTTTGGTTTTGTGACTGGATGCCTGTTCTTCGCAAACACAGTGACACAGAAAAAGGAAGCAACCAGGAAACATAAAGGTGCCTTTATTCATGTCCATGCCATCTAAGTCTACCTAGTACAGGAATTAGGACCACAGAAAGGTCGAATGAGAACCTAAAACAACAACAAAACAACAGAACAGTCGCCCCCTTGAATCTGCGCACTGGCAAAGCTGGTTTCCTCCTTGAGAAGGACACACATCACGTTCGTTGTCTTCTTCCGCCAGTGTCCTGTCCTGTCCTGTCCTGTCTCTCTTCATTAAGGCCTGGGCAGTGTGATGAGCTGGTGCCATCTCCCCTCTGGAGGGGCGCTGAGGAGAGCTCTCCCTAGCTGTCAGTCCCCGGCAGGCTGGGGCTGAGTGGGGCACGACTCTGTGCTGCTCAGCTGCATTGCCTGCCTCTGCAATTCCTCCACCGTCTGCAGCAGAGCAGACCTCTCCAGTTCTAATGCCAAGCTCGCCTGCTTCAGCTTGCTCTCGCTGGTCAGAAGCTTCTCAATGGTGTCTTCAAGGCTTTGGATCCTACCATTTGCCACCTGAAGAGTAAAAGAAATGAGAATGGAATTGCTCTGTGATAACAAAGGAGACATCTGCTGAACATTCCACTGTCCAGCCCTGGGGGCATCTGGAGCAATGTTTTGGTAGAGCCAAGTCTAGGTGTTTACTACCAGTTTTTGTGGGCCACACAGGACGATCCCATTTCCCAACTTGCCGTGTAGGTGGGCTGGGTCAGGTCCTGAGAACACACAGGAACGCCTCCAGCATCCCTACCTTGATGTGGCTACTTTGGAAGCCCCGTGTGCAGAGCAGATGGTGCCGAAATAGTAGGCAGGATACCCACTGTAGGGAGGAGAGCTCTGATGGGACAAAGAATGATTCTGGGGGAAGAGGAAGAGCTTCAGGGATTCAAAACACAAACGTTTTTATGCGGAGGCACTGAAATTTGGAGCACCTTAGCTCATTCTGACTATTCACGCAGACACATAGGCAAATGGAGGGTACACTGATACAGTCAAAATGGCTTCTAGTTGAAGGCTGAAGCAGAAGCAGCATGCTTATTAAAAAAAAATTTTTTTTTTTAATTTCCTTAGAGTAATAGAAAGCACAAGCAGCTCTGGTAGTGTAGTGGTTACGAATCGCACTGGGAACCTCAAGGTCAGCAGTTCGAAACTACCAACTGTTCCGGGGGAGAAAGACGAGGCTTTCTGCTCCCATAAAGATTTAGAGCCTCGGAAACCCTGTACAGGGTTGCTATGAGTCAGAACCGACTCCACAGCACATAACAACAACAATAGAAACCACAGGAGATCTGGGGATCCTTCCCAGGCCCGGAAGCATTCTGCTAAGAGGTTGGCTTAAGGAGCAGCAGTCCCTCATTTGCACCCTGTAGATAAGGAGTGAGCTCCTCACTCAGTTTTATCTTCAGCACCTCCCGATGCTCTAGAGGTCATTCTGACTCCAACTCACAGAAAGCCTGTAGGGCAGGGGAGAACGGCCCCATAGTGCTTCCAGGCTGTCATCTGGATGCCATCTCTTTCTCTCACAGAGCAGCTGCTGGTACCAACTGCCAACCTTTTGGAGAGCAGCCACGTGCTTACCACAGTACCACTAGGGCTCCTGATAAGGTAAGTAATCTCAGTTGAAGCAAAAGTACATAGGAAAATAACTTAGCCCCCAATTTTGTTGTTGTTAGGTACATTGAGACGGTTCTGACTCATAGTGACCGTATGTATAAGAGAACAAAACACCGTCGGGTCGTGTGCCATCCTCACAATTGTTACCATGTTTGAGTCACTTGTTGCAGCCACTTCTAACACTTGTCCTTCCTCTTTCCAGTCTGCTCAGGCAGGCTTCCCAGGTAACAGTGAGCAAGCTCCAATGAAGCTACCCATTCCCTGAGCACCCACATGGGTTCTGGCCCCTCGGGCTGTCCGGCTGCTGCGTTCTGAAGACCTCTGGTCACTGAGTCAGTAAGGCACTGCTCTACCTCTGGAATCCAGCCCAGTTTTTACATTTCCTCCACTTATTTCAGGTGGAAACATGGTACATATACTTTTCCTCATTTTCAAAACAAGGGAAACCATTTTCTGCACACTTGTGCCAGACATACAAATCGTGACTCAAGAGTCTAGCCCTGGCTGTGCGCCGAGAACAATCAAAATAGAAGGACTAGGGAACTGAGCTCCTACGTGTGTGAGCATGCCAGGCAGGGGTGGTCATACGTGGTCTGTATCTAAGCAACACTCTGGGATTCTCAAAATCCCATCCATCAACAGAGCCTGGGCCAGGTTGCACCTCATCTCCAGAAAGGATCTCCCCCTGCACACTAAGGTATTCCATGGAATTAACTGTTTTACATAGTCATTTAGGAACCCTGGTAGAGCACTGTGGGTCAACGCACTGGACTGCAAAGTCTTTTGAACTGCAAGGTCGGTGGTTCAAGCTCACCAGCTGCTCCTCGGAAACCCTACACAGAATTGCTATAGGTTGGAACTGACTCAACAGCACTTAACAACAACAACACAGTTGTTTATTGTTCTGCAGGTGTATAGCAAGTCTCCTAAGGAGACTGAATTGGTAGCTTTCTTGCCTCCCATATAAGGAGACCCAAGTTCAACTCCCAGCGAATGCACCTCATGCAGAGCTACCATCCAGTGATCATCCCTGGAGGCTTGTGCACTGCTACGCTGCAGACCTGGTCCCTGCGGAGCTTCAAACCCTGAGACAAACGAGAAGGGACAGCCCGGCAATCTACTCCCAACACTCAGGGTCACAGCCACACGTGGGCATGGCATTCGGTTCCACTGTGCCTGGGATCTCCTTGGGTCGGTGGTAGACTAACGACAAGATGATGATGGCAGGTCTTTTGCCCTGCCCTTCCTGTGGGTCTGGCCTCCCATGGCACCCACTCGGGGTTGGCCTGCAGCGTCTTGTAATTATTAGTGAAAATATAAGTCCCTTAGTATTTGGCATCATTTAGCATGGTGCAGTGGTTACACGCTTGGCTATTAACTGAAAGGTCAGCAGTTCAAACGTATCAGTTACTGTGTGGGAAAAAGCTGTGATGGTCTGCTCTGCGCTCTGCAAGATCATGGCCTTGGAAATCCAATGGGGTCGTTCCACTGGATCGCTAGGAGCCGGAATCAATTTCATAGCAATGTTGTTTTGTTTTTTAAATGCAATAGCCTTACATATTCTGCTGGATAAAACAGGCTAAGCAGTTAGGTCTCCAGCTTACAGCCTGCATTCTCAAGTATCCAACAAGAAAATACATGAGATTTTGGGATACTTATGAACTATACGAGTATGAATAGGACAAAGCTAGAAAACAGGTCGATTTTGGTACTTTGAAAATAATTACCTATGAAAATAGAGTATTGTATTGAATACCTACAATTGGACACTTTATGGAAATTATAAAGAAAAAAGGTGCCCTGTGCCCAAAGACCTTACAATCTAGCTAGAAGGCAGTGAGTCTTTGTGACTTGCAGAGGGCTGTGGGTGGGTGGTGGTGTAGACACGTCCGCCGATGACATACCACAATCCCTACTTTTTTAATGCAGCAGAGCTTTATGCATCATGATGCCCCCCGCCCCAGCACAGCCAGGACCCAACAAATTCTGGTGGTCGTGCTAAACCAGCAGTCAGATGAGCTACCCCAGGAAGTCCAGCTGATGCGGTCAAGGTCTGTTAGGACCTACTGCAGTGTGACGGCTTGCCTGAGAAATGTAGGTACCTGAGCAGCTTTTCACAACTCCCTAGCTTCGCAAAACGGTAAGGTACCACAGAAGCAGCATGCAACTGCTTTCCACTGATGTCACATAAAAACCACCTGGGCATTGTTGGTGGTGGTGTCAGATGCCCAAGTCATGGCAGCTCACACTGCTGCCTGACCCTGCGCCAAATCCATGATCAGCTGTGGATTGGACACTGTCCTGTGGGTCACACAGGGTTCTGATCAGTACAATCAAACATAACAATTGTGAGGCCAGCACAGGACTGGACAGTGCTCCGTTCTCTTGTGCACAGGGTTGGTCCCGACTCAATGGCGTTTAACGATAAAGTGAACCTTTTATCTGTGCTGCCTATTTTAAAAAGCCAAACGTAAATATGAGCTTGGTAAGAAATGTGCCCATCATATTATATTTCAGGGGCCTAACTCTTGCTTAGTGGTCATTGTAGGACAAGCATTAGATTGTTGCTAACCGCAAGGCTGGAGTCCTGGTGTGGCTCTGTGGGTTAATGTGCTGGACTGCAAGGTTGGTTTGAACCACTAGGTCGCTGGTTCAAGCTCACCAGCCACTCCTTGAAAACCCTATACAGGGTTGCCATGGGGTGGAACTGACTAGAAAACACTTAACAACAACAGCCACAGGTTTGCAGTTCAAACCCATCAGCTGCTCCTCGAACTTAACAACAACTACATCCACCGGTCTCACAGGAAGGCTTTTGATTCCTTCAAGACTTCGCTAGTTTCCAAAGTCCTTCACACTAAGCCAAGACTTCCTGGAGAAACTGTAGAAAGGCATATTTTCCGTGAGAACAGCTCAGTCTTGGAGGAGAGGAGAAGCTAAGTGTCAGACTGTGACTGGCAGTTAGGACTGGGTAGGGGAAGCATTCTGTCTTTGTTCCTCTACAGAAAACATCATCCAGGGTCCCCTGGCTTCCATCCCTGCCGGGAGGAATGCATTTTAGACAGGGGCTGGTTTATCAGACTCCCCAGGGCTGGCCTTTCTCATTTAGCTGCCAAGATGATGTCTGCAAACCAGCAACTTTCTGGAGAAATATCAGAGGCTTAGCCTAAGACGGAAAGCTCATTCCAAGAATATATAACTATAGCTATACAATACATATTTGGGGTGTGGGGAAGGGGGGTAGGAATATGTATTTTTCTCCACAGGAACAAAAAAACAACAACAAATGAATAAAAATTAAAACCCACTCTGAAAGCAACTGACAACATCGCGGCTACTTGTCACATCAGAAAAGTAGGGTGCGTGGCTACTTCACGTCATGCGCTTGACTAAGGGACAAGCTAAACGGTTAGGGATTCTTTTCCTTTTGTCCAGAGGTGGAACCAGGACAGAGGGGTGAGCAGTCTGCCCAGTGAACATGGGGGCAACACCGGCACCTGGGGCCTCAAAGTTTTTGCTCCATCTTACTTTTCTGTGTCTATATTAGCCATTCTTTTGTATGCCTTCATCTGCTTTTAAGGAGTTCTGGTGTGGCTCTGTGGGTTAATGCGCCAGACTGCAAAGCCGTTTGAACTGCAAGGTTGGTGGTTCAAGCTCACCAGCTGCTCCTTGGAAAACCCTATACAGGGTCGCTATGGGTCGGAACCGACTCAACAGCACTTAACAACAACAACAGCCTATTGGAGTCCTGCTGTGACGCTGTACGTTAATGCACCAGACTGCAAAGTCGTTTGAACTGCAGGGTTTCTGTGGGTCGGAATCGACTTGACAGCACTTAATAGCAATGACAACAGTAGCGTATTTGTTACGAGTCAGGCTGCTAGCCTCAAAGTCAGCAGTTTGAAACTACCAGCCGTTCCATGGGAGAAAGATGAGGCGTTCTGCTGCCGTAAAGATTTGTAGCCTTGGAAACACTGTGTAGAGTTGCTATGAGTCAGAACTGACTCCACGGCACAAAACCACCACCATTATCATCTGCTTTGATCCATGTTAAGAGGGAAGCTTCTAGAAGCAAAAACTATGTTCCTCATTAATCAAATCTTTGAACTTACACTGAGGACTCACAAGTAACGATCCTACAGTCTCTTTTGTTAGGTAGATTTCTACCTAACAATTTGTCACTCTCTCTTTCCAGGCCCTAGCTTGTTTCCCTGGCACCAAGTTAAAACCCGATTCTCTTGTCATTCTCAAAGCACAATGGCTGGCACTCAGCTAACTGTGCCACATGGTCCTGAGCCCAAACAAGTTTACTCTGGGTCCTTCTAGAAGGCTTCAGGACTGTCTGACCTTAGAACAGGGTAATCCGTCTGTCTGACAGTTCTTCTAGGATACCTTTGATCTCAACTATCAAGAGATCAGGGTGAGAAAGGTCCCTGGTCACGGGAAAGGCCAGTCTGCAGGAGCCTTTGGTGAGTTAATGAGCGACCACACACTTGTGCTTCAGGAAGCTGATTTATTCACATGCTGTACCTGCAATTGTTCCAGGAGGTCAAGGTTCTGTTTGCGTAAGCTGCTGTTGGCTTTCTCCAATTTATCCATTCTTTGGTTGTCACTAAGAGGAGAAGAATCAATAAGCTCTTCTTGAAGGACATGGTACTCAACTTCATAAGCTTGTAACTGTTTAGAAATGTCCATCTCAAATACCTGTTAAATACAAAGAACTCATCAGGCACTGAAAGATCTCTCTCACTCACTCACTCACTCACTCACTCACTCACTCACTCACACACACACACACTTCCACAGTGTCCATGAAGCACCTATTCTAGGCTTAATACTAGGCCTAGTGCTGTGTTGTTGGGCTTGTAGAGTTGGTTCCAGGTGGGTTGCAACTGCCAACCCTGCGGTTACCAGTCCAGTGCTTATCCTGCAGCACCACACCAGGACTCAGGCCTAAGGGACACAAGAAAGTCTCTATGCCTCAAAGGTAACTTTACATAGGAAGAAAGGATATAAGAAACATCTACACATAATTCAAAGGTGGCAATAAATACAGGTTTCTAAAATACTCATCTTCCCAAAGCCCAACCCTCCTTTTTAATAAGACTCACTACCAAGCTCGACTCCTGGTGTGGCGCTGTAGGATAAGCAGAGCAAAAGGTCGGCGGTTCAAACACACCAGCTGTTCCTGCTCAGAAACCCCGCACAGGGTCACTGAGCCAGAACTGACTCTATGGCACTTACCAACCACAACTAAAAAGGTATTTTTAGCTTTTATTCCGATACTTAATTCTTTACTCTGAAAACTCTATAAGCCTAGATACATCAATCAGCTAAGGACACAAAGAACCACAGCCCTCTTCCCACAGTCATTGAGTCAAAGTTTAATTACAGTTCAGCTGGGTTTTCAGAGATGCAAGAACAACTAAATAATGAAACGATTTACTAAAAAAACCTCCCTTGCTCATAAGATATGCAGAAATGAGCCAAAGCCCCAATGTCACCCACACAGATGAGTGAATACAAGACAGTGCTCAAGTTGTCTTCCTTCCCCTAATTGTAATAGCGATGAGAAAACCACACACGTGAAAAGGAACTCCAAAGTGCAAAAGTGACTCCAGTGCTTGTGTCTGTACTTCTGCTTGATCTGTGTGGGGTGAAGGAGGAGTCAGAAGGCATCACATCGAGGCCCATGGTGTCGCCTACTTTTCTGCTGGTCCTGTGGTACCACCTCAAGGGGCTGCGCCTCCCAGCCTAGGAGGGTGGGCTTTCAGTCACACTGGGATAGCATGAGAAAAGCTAGCAGGTTCAGCACACATAGTAAGAGAAGGAAGGCACACTTTTACAAGAGCAGAAATTCACTCTCCCATGCGTTTCCTTAGGAAGAAACATTCTCTGATGGTTACCCGGGTAAAATGATTCACTGGCAGATGGGTCTACAATATACAAGAGGGAGGCTGGCAGAGGAAAGACAAAGGTAGAAGACAAAGGGAGGACTGCAAGAGTTAAAATGAATAGAGGTAAATACTGTTAATGGGGGCTATGTGAGGGGAGACTGCATTCATTGTAATAAAGCAAAGTATATGATTGGTTGAATGTGAAAATGATGATCTGCTCAGTAAACTACTCCAACACAATGAAATCTACAAAAAATGAGGTCCTCCGATTGGACACTCTATTAGCATGCATAAAGGATGAGAGTCTTCTCTCCCCTGAAATCAGTTTTCCAAAAAATGTGTTTCTTTTCTCAATATTCCCAACCATCTTATTTTGATTTTCCCTTCCTTGAGATGAAGTTTTCAGCTTCCTGGTTTTCACTGCATTCAATGCATAAGACTAAGAAGGCATAAAATTGGTTCTAAGCCTATAGATTAAAATGGAGTTTTGGTGTGGCGCTGAAGGATAAACACTGGACTGCAAGGTCAAGTTGAACCTCAAGGTGGCGGTTCAAACCCACCAGCCACTTCTCAGAAACCCTATACTGGGTCACTATGAGTTGGAACCGACCTGATGGCACTTAACAACATAGCCTAAAATGCATCATGTTTGTGGTATATGGTCATAGTTTCTGGTATTGAACTGACTGGACTATAAGGCAGTAGGGATTATGAGGCCCATTTTACAGATGTGAAACCTGGGTCTTGAAGATGTTCAATGATTGAATAAGGCAAAGGCTTTGGAGTCAGCTCTGAAATTGGGGTTCTACTGGTGGCTCTGACTGACCTTGAATGAGTTATTTAACCATTATAGCTTCAAGGGACAGTAACACTTGAAACTTCAAATCCATTGCCGTCATGTTGATTCTAACTTCTGGCGACCCCAAGTGACACAGTGTAGAACTGTTCAATAGAATTTTCTTGGCTGTAATCAGCAAAACATACAGCAATTCAACATTTGTTGTTGAGTGCCTTTGAGTCCATTCCAACTTATAGTGGCCCTGTAAGTGGTTTCCAAGGAGTGGCTGGTAGGCTTGAACTGTCAACCTTGTAGTTAGCAGTCCAGTGCTTATCCTACAGTGCCACACCAGGACCCCAATTCAGCAATCACTCCCTGCACAATTCAGTGACACTGACTACATTCTTTGAGTCTTGCCACCATTTTCACCCTTTGTCCAAACTGTCCCTCCCCCACTGACATACACTCATTGCCCAATAAGAACCCTAACTTTCCCAGCTGTGATTTTCAATCTGGCCCCACAGAGATGGTTCTTTAAAAGAGCGCACCATTCAAAGCAGACACGCTTTTATTAACTAAGCTAAACTGTTGTTTCCTTTAAAGAAGACTTCGTGAGATATTTTTGGTTTAAAAGTTAAGGTTTTGAGGGTTCAAACAGTGCCTGTAATCTTAATAGAAACATATCACCAGGCCTGTCTTCCTCAGCATGGCTAAGTGGGTTAAAATCACTAACCTTTAGGTTAGCGATTATGTACCGTGGAGTCGGTCAGACTCATAGCAACCCTGCACAGGGTTTCCGAGGCTGTAAATCTTTACGGGAGCAGAAAGCCTCATTGTTCTCCCTCGGAGCGGCTGGTAGCTTCGAACTGCTGACCCTGAGGTTTGCAGCCTAATTTGTAACCAGTATGCTACCAGAGCTCTTTTAGGTTAGCGGTTTGCAAACTGCTTGCACCAGGCGTAAAATAATCCAGGTAGATTCTGAGTAAACTTCATGGCAAGGTGAATGGGCACTCACGTAGCTAACTGACCTGCTCCCATGTACTTGCCAAATAACCCTCCCATTTCCATCTTGTGCACTGAAACAATATTACAAATGACCCCCACATCACAGAACTTCCGGATAGCTCCAATAGAGGACGAGCCACACCCGTGAGAGCAGAGACTGCGGGCCGTTCTTGTGCTATTACAAATTTGGTGCTGAATAAAAGTCACCCTACACATGATTGCTTTTGTTCCTTCTACAGTGGTTTATTTTGAAATGATCTCCAACCCAGAAAGCCTTGGCAGCAGCACCTCTGATCCTTTACACGGATTGATGATCTGTGGAGGTTAATGGCTCTCAGCTGTGCCCAAAGCCGACTTCTCTTCCCAGCCCCCATTAATCCCTAAGAACCATCCTGGGTCATAACCACTTTGCACAACTGCCTCGTTATCTCCAGCCTGCCAAACACCTGAGTGTCCTGGATTTTGCAGCTATGCCTCAGAATTTATCCCAAACCACGTTAGTGCAAAGCTGGTGGTACAAGACATGCTCTGACCCCCAAACAGGGCTTTAGTCCTCTGGGTATTTGGGGAAGGGTCAGAGGATAGGAAGAGGCCCTTGTCCTTGTGTACTCAGAGTACAAGTGACCTGCTGCCAACTGTAGTACTTGCCCCGAAAAAGAGCAAACCCTAAAATCAGCTCCCGCCAAGTGAATTTCCAACTTGTGGCAACCCTATGTGTTACAAAGCAGAATGCGCTCCTGTGCTTCCTGGTTGTAATCTTTATGGAAGCGGATTGCTAGGCCGTCTTCTCTCGGATCTAGGAATGCAGTGATTGTCTCACCGAAGCACAACCAATGGACAAAAAGAGGAAGTGGTTGTTGGTGGGAAAGCAGGATACACAGTGAGGTCTTTTCACTTCTTATCCAAGAGGGACCAGAGGCTCAACACATGTGGCTCTCCCCCACCCAGCTCTAGCTGCGCAGTCTATCCGACTCACTACACAAAGCTGCAAGGGATTTTCGCCGCATAGCGACCACACGATCAGCAGAATGCTGCCTGGTCCTGGGCCATTCTCACCATTGCTGTCACGTCTGAGTTCACTGTTGCTGACACTTTAATCCATCTCATTAGGGTCTTCCTCCTTTTCCCTGACCCTCTACTTTACCAAGCTGAGGTCCTTCTCCAGAAACTTGTCCCTCCTAATAATGTGTCCAAAGTAGGTCAAAGTCTTGCTTCTCAGGAACATTACGATTGGCTTTAATCATCTTTGCTATTTCAAATTATCTGCACTAAATTCATACTTATAGTGGTTCTAAGCACTAGACTAGTGGCTTATGAGCTGGGCTGCTAATTGAAAGGTTAGCAGTTGAAACCTATCAGTCGCTCTGTGGGAGAAAGATGATGCTTTCTGCTCCCATTAAGATTTACATCCTTGGAACTGACTTGGTGGCACAAAACCACCAACAAGCACTGGACTTCTAACAACTAGATCGGTGTTTATACACCTGTATAAGGTTTCCGGGTGTGGCATTGTGGGTTAATGCACCAGACTGCAAAGCCGTTTGAACTGCAAGGTCGGCGGTTCAAGTTCACCAGCTTCTCTTTGGAAACCCATACAGGGTTACTATGGGTTGGAATCAACTCGACGGCACTTAACAATAACAACATAATGTTTCCTCAGAAACCTTATGCAGGGCCACTAGCGATGAGTCAGAACCAAGTGGATGGCACTTAACAACAAGAAGTCCCTGGGTGGTGCAAACAGCTAACATGCTTTGGAGCTGATTGAAAGATTGGAGGTTTGAGTCCACCCAGAAGCACCTCAGAATAAAGGCCCTGGTGATGTCTTTCTGAAAACCATCCACTGAAAACCTTGTGGAGCACAGTTCTACTGAGACGTCCATGGACCACCATGCGACAGAATTAACTGGACAGTAACTGGAAGGGCCTTCCTAGCATCCCGGCTCTTTGTTCTTCAAGTTTCAGAAAGTGGGGGATGAAGAAAAAGTGAGCATGCATTTCTTCTAGTTGAATTAGAAATTACC